ATACTTCTAAAATTTATAATAAAATAAATAAAATATTAATTTATGAAAAATTATAATATTTCTCATAAATTATAATATTTAGTACAAATAAAACTTTTAAAGTAGGTTAAATGCTAAATTTGGTCCATCAACTTTAAGAAATGAACATTTTTGGTTCCTTAACAATTTTTTGCACTTTTTGATCCCTCAACTATACGAAATGCACACCGTTAATCCTTTTGTCAATTTGGGCCGTTAAGTCCGTCATATGGTATTTTTTATAATTTTTTTAATAACGTGGAGAGCAAAATTTTAAAAAGTGCTGATATGGACCAAACGTGTTGCCATGTAATGTTCCTGCGAGCCAAAGGTGCCAATCCACTAAAATGGACCCCACATTACCTGCCGAAGCTCCAATAAACACGCGATAAACCCTGGGACGCAGAGATGTCTTTTGGCTTGCTCTTTCGGGAGAAAAAAAAACCTAATAACTTCTACAGAGATTTTCCATTGCACTTTCGATTCTCCTCATTGGGATTGCAGAGATTTTCTCAGAGTTTATCCTATCTTCCTTGTTCGATTCTCCGATTCTCCTTCAAAGCTCGAACTCAAACCCTAGATTTGCTGGGATTCCAAGGATTTGCCAAGGGAATCGAAGTTGCGATTGTTGAAAAGTCACTCGAAAGCAGGATCGATGGACCCTAATGACCCCGAAATTGTTTATGTCGACCTGGAACCAAGCAAAGAGATTCTGGAAGACGAGGTAATGATATGGGTTTCCTTTTCCTTTTTTCTATTGTTGTTTAATTGATTCAGAGGGTACTTTTTTATACTGACATGGACCCTTGTCTAATAAAAGTGATGCAAAAATTTTGATGCATGTTGAACTGCATGACTATTCGAGGAGAAAAGGACATTAGGTCCCCACTTAAACAGGAAGTTTGTGTTGTTTATGTCTTTCCCATTTACTTTTGGGTTTAATAATAATTTCTTTATTGAGTAAAATTGTCTTAACAATTTAAAATTTTTGCTTTCAATGCTGCCGGTTTTCTAGTGTCTGCTGTGTTGACTCATGACCAGACCAGATCTGTATTAAGTAATTTATTTTGTTTGTTTGCTTTATTTATTAGGGTGAGCATGATTTAGGAAATGAGGCAGAAACCAAATTTGTACCAATTTTCATTCATTTGGGTGGAAGGTTTATACAGGGAGCTGGTAATTCAATTTCATATGTTGATGGTGAATGTGATGACTGGATTATTAATAGGGATAAATTGACACTGTTTGAACTTTATACTAAGGTTGGTATTGCTGGATATGATGCTGATATGGTCGACCAAATATGGTATTTAGAACCAAGAAAAACAATTACAGATGGTTTGAAACCTATTAGGAATGATCATGACATTAGGGATGTTTTGGGGGTGTTGAAGGTGGAGAAAAAGGTACATATTTATGTGTCTCATGTCCCAAATTTTGCTGAAATTATACCTATCTTACCATTACCAGCCCCGAGTGATAAGGGTACGGTTGTCGACAATCCTGTTGAGGTTGAGGGGAGAGTAGAAAATGATCATGTTGATGTGGAAGGCAGAGTTGAGGATGCTGGTCATGCGGTTGAGGTTGAAGGCAGAGTTGAGGATGCTGGT